GTATGGTAATTACTGTAGGTTTTTCCTACATGTTATTTCCCAGGTTGAGGAGGTACTCTTTTATTCCCAGTTAACTGTTTTTTTATGTGTCATGAGTATTTGTAGCATTTTATATAATGCTTTTGCTGCATCTATTGTAATCATACAGTTTTTTCTTCTTTATTCTGTTAATATGATGAATTACATTGATTGTTGAATGTTAAACTAGCCTTGCATTCCTTTTTTTTTTTTTTTTTAAACTTTATTTTTTTTGAGACACAGAGACCTGGTGTGAGCAGGGGAGGGGCAGAGAGAGAAGGAGACACAGAATCCGAAGCAGACTCCAGGCTCTGAGCTGTTAGCACAGAGCCTAATGCAGGGCTCGAACCCATGAACCATGAGACCATGACCTGAGCCGAAGTCAGATGCTCAACCGACTGAGCTACCCAGATGCCCCTAGCCTTGTATTCCTAACACAAACCTTGTTTGTTCATGATATATTATCCTTTTATATTGTTGGATTTATTGGCTAATTTTTTGTTGAGGATTTTTGTATTTATGTTCACACAGGATACTGGTTTATACTTTTTTCTTGTTACGTGTTTACTCATGATATCAGGGAAAGGCTAGCCTCATAAAATGAATTGGAAAATGTTTCCCCCTTCTCTGTTTGATGAGATTATTTGTAAAGAGTTGATACTATTTCTATCTTATAGAAGTTGGAATTTACCAGTGAAGCCATCTGTGCCTGGAATATATTGAAAGATTTTCAGACTGTATTTAATTTTTACAGGACTGTTTACAGTATCAGTTTGTTCTTGCATGAGCTTTATAAGATTAAGTATGTTAAGGAATTTGTTCCTTTTATCCAAGGTGTTGAATATGTAGAAATACAGTTGTTCCCAACATTTCCGTATCCTTCAGATAACTTTAGGATCCATAATGATATCTCCTATTCATTTATTATGTTGCACTTTCAGGTCTAGAATTTATGTTTGAGTTCTTTTTACAATCTGTCTCTTCATTGGTGTTTTCTGTTTGTTGTGACATCATTATTCTGGTTTCCTTTAGCTCTTTCTCCATGGTTCTTACCAGCTTTCTGAGCATATTTGAGACATTAAGAAAATTTTTTTCTTTTATAGTAAGCCCAGTGCCTTGCTTCCTCCTGAACTGTGTCTGCTAATTTCATCTGTGCATGGGCCAGGCTTCCTTGATTCCTTGCATAGATTAAACTGTCCTGCTATTGTAATCAGACAAAGGAAGTATAAGAAATTAAAACTACAGACATGTATATTCATTAACATAGATGCAAAAATCCTTAAGAAATATTACAGTGAAATAGTATGATATGTAAGAAGGATAATACACTATAACCAAATGCATTTACCTTATGAATGCAAAATGGTTTACCAGTCAATTCTGTTAATTATATTCATGGAATAAAGGAGGAAAAGTATATGATCTCAGTAGAAGAGAAAAAATTTCTCACAAAATCCACAGTTATTGATGATAAAAATTCTTAAGTGGGGAATAAAAGAGGGTCTCTTCAACCTGGTGTAAGGGACATCTAGGAAAAACCTATAGGTATTATCATACTTAATTTGAAAAACACTGAATGCTTTCCCTGTAAGGTACAGAATAGTTCAAGAAATGCCTTTTCTCATCACTTCTATTCAGGTTCATAGTGTGAATACTCTAGCTTCTGCAACAAAACAAGAAAAATAAAGACAAGATTGGAAAGAAAAAGTAAAACTAGCTTTATTTGCAGATGAAATGATGAGTCATGCAGAAAGTCCTAAGGAATGTAGAAAACTACCATTAGTAACAGTAAGCAAGGTTCATAAGTTTGCAAGATACATTGTCAATGTAAATAGTCATTTCTAAAAATGAAATGAAAATTATTCCATTCATAACATTAAAAAGGCTAAATTCTTAAAAAACTTTTAAGTTTATTTTGAGAGTTTATTTATTTTGAGTTATTTATTAATTATACATCAAATGTCGGACACCGGGGGTGCCTGGGTGGCTCGGTCACTTAAGCATTTAACTCTTGATTTGTGCTCAGGTCATGATCTCATGGTTGAGATTGAGCCCCACATGGGGCTCCATGCTAACAGTGTAGAGCCTGCTTGGGATTTACTCTCTCCCCGTCTCTCTCTTTGCTCCTTCCCTGCTTGCGTGTGCTCTTTCTCATAATAAATAAATAAACATTGGGGAAAAAAAAGAGTTGGACACTGAACCGACTGAGCCACCTAGGTGCCCCACAGAAAAATTTAACAAAAGAAGTACAAGACCTGTAAACCTAAAACTGCAAAACATTTCTGAAAAAAAAAAATTAAAACCTAAACAGTAGAATGATAGGCATAGTCAAGGATTGGAGGCCTGACCTTGTTAAGATGGCAGTTCTCTCCAAACTTAGAGATTTCTCATAACCTCAATCAGAATACCAGATATCTCTTCCAGAAATTAACAAGCTAATTATAAAGTATATGTGGAATGTAAAGGGCACATATTAGCCAAAACAATTTTATTTACTCTTATTTTTAATTTTAACTCCAGTATAGTTAACATACAGCATTATATTTGTTCTGGTGTAAAATTCAGTGATTCAACACTAGTGCTCATCAAGATATGTGTACTCTTAACCTCCTTCACCTGTTTCCCCCATCCCCATTCCCCCGCTTTAACCATCTGTTTGTTCTCTGTAGGTAAGAGTCTGCTGTTTGGTTTGTCTTGTTTTTCCTTTGTACATTTGTTTCTTAAATTCCACATGTGAGTGAAATCATTTGGTATTTGTCTTTTTCTGGCTTATTTCACTTAGCACTATACTCTCTAGATCTAGTCATGTTGCTACAAATGGCAAGATTTCATTCTTTTTTTATGGTTTAATAATATTGCACTGCATATATATACCACAGGGCTGCTTCCATAATTTTAGCCAAAACAATTTTTGGATCAGAATAATGTTGAGGTTTTTTAATGCTTGATTTCAAGGATTATTTTATAGCTACTTTATTAAACAAAGTGTCATTTTCATATGAGAATAGACCTACAGATCAATGAAGGAGAATAATGTTTGGACATAAATCCACAATATAATCCACAGTTAATATATGTTTGATTTCATACAAAGATGCCAACCTAATAAATAAGTAAGGGGAAATATGGTAGACATTTCAATAAATGGTTTTGAAATAACTAATTTCCAAGTGGGAAAGAAAATAATGTACATGGGATTTAATGTGAAATGGAACATTGACATAAATGTAAATGCCCAAAGGTATTGAGTTTGTTTAGCATATAAGAGAAAGTCTTTTAAGTGTTTATGGGAGGTGAAGATATCTTGGGATAAAAAGTGCAAATAAGAAAAATAAATTGATGAAAATTAAAATGTTCTACTTTTTGAAAGACAGCTGTTAAAAATGAAAAAGGTAAGCCGTGGAATTGAGAAAAATATTTGTAACACATATAATGTACATAATACTTCATCTAAAATATATAGGGAGATGAACAGCCCATAAAAAATGAGCAGAAACGTGAAAAATTAAACGTGTTTAATTTTATTACTCATCAGGAAAATGCAAAACAAAGCCATTTGATCATTAATATAGATGTAAAAAATTTCAGAACATTCAGAATTGAAATTAGGACTGCATAGTTGTTGCTTTTGGGGGTAGTGATTCATGCCTAATTCTTGTGAGGAGCATGATGGAAGTTTCTGCATGATTGTAATGTTTTATTCCTGGATGTGAATTTTGGGTGCATGGATGTGTTTTCTTTATGAAAACTTAACCTTATATAGTACTTAGTTATATACTCCTCAGGAGTAGGATGTGTTTCAATAAAAATGTTTTCCCCAGATGAATAGGATTCAGAGAAAAACAAACCAATTCATGAACCTGTGATATGATATATAACTATAACTCATTTTTGAAATTCTAATTAAAACTATGGTGAAATTTCCAGGAAGATTGCCAAAATTTTAAATGTTTGAAAACACTAAGAATTTGTGAGGCCACGGAGCCATACCAAATCTAACCTGCTGATGTTAGTTTCATGTGTCACAACTACTTGTGAAAACAAATTGGTAACACTTAGTAAAGTGAATATATGCAGTTCTACTCTTTGATATATACACCGTGGAAAATCTTATACATGAGCATCTGGAGGCATGTTCAAGGAGGCTCATGGTGGCACTGTGAGTAAAAGCAAAAAATCTATAAACAGTACACATATATATCAACAGTGTAGTGGACAATTAAGTAGTCATTTATCAGTGTAATATAGTATAGCAGTGAGAATGAATGAACTACCAATATGGATAAAATTTAAAGATTGTTTTGAAGAATGTCACAGGAACATATGTGATATTATTTCCTTTTCGTACAGTTTAGAAAGAAGTTGATAAACAGTGTTATATTTAGAGAATCTTTCATAGAAGGTTGAAAACAAGTAACTAAAAGTGAAATCATGATCAGTTGTAGGGAACATAATCAAGGAGGATCACAAAAGATGCTTCTGTAGTACCGCTTAATTTTTTGGCCAGGGTAGAAGATTCAGGGATGTCTTTTATTGTTATTTTTATTAAATTGTATTATATGTTTTTGTGTGCTGTATTTCTCATAGCAGTAAAAAAGCCAATTTAATGATCTTTCAAAAATTTAAAACTGCAAGTTTCTCAACTCGGTAGGTTTAAAATATGAAGAACGGTTTTTTTCCCATGTATGTTCTGATATGTATATTTAGTGATAGGTTGAATTAACATTGTATCTAAGAACTTTTTCTACTCAAAGCCTGTCAACAAGAAAATTAATGTAATAGTTCGACCGTTTATATTTAGCCTTGAAATTGTAAAACCACATCTTTAAACCAAATTTTATTATTTACTTTTCTAATTCAGACTAGGTTTTTTTCCTTAATTAATTCGAAGGGAGATTTATTTATTTATTTAGGTAAAAATTGTCTTAGGACTTTGAATAAAAATCTTTGTGCTAATTAACAGTGAATTACTTTTCTTCCAGATTCAAAGGTCGACTTCTTTGGGAACATCACAGATTTCACAGAAAGTGCTTCCTCTCCTGGAACTTCCATATGTCGAAGATGGTAAAATGCAACCGCTTTAGGAAGTTTTTCTTATTAAAATGTGTTAGGAATATAATTTTCATTTGAGACCATATTAAAAATTTCAAACATTAGCAGATATTTATGTATTTTTTGGAAATTTCACTAAAATTCCTTTAAACACTAGAACTTGGGTGTTCCTTAAAGTTGCTTTTGCCGTGGGGTTTTTTGGTATGTAAAATTTAAACTTGTAATCTCAAAGTCTACTAGTAAGTTAATCTTTTTATCCTCCTTTGAGCTAGGAGCCCTAGTGAAGCTGTTGATACCTAATTTATGATATTACTTAATTATTTAGAGAGTTTTGTTATAGTAAAATTTTAGTTTTATATTTTCCTTTTTTGTTACTAAACAAAAAAATCAAGACTTAATACCTACTACATTCACATATGAAAACTGGTAAATATATTGATAACAGATATCTGCTTTTTCTTGGCCACATTGGAAAGAAAAGCAAATGTATTTCTCTGTTTTTAAGGCTTTAAAAGTTGCTAAATGGTAAGTAACTGAAGTTGCCGTTTTAATCCTTGGTTTTCTAAAAGAATGTTTTTCTTTGTGGTAAATGGGGCAGGGAGGAGCTATTTTTGAGATATTCTGCCCTAAATTCAGTCTTGGGTTGTTCGGGACATACTTCAGGTGGTTTTAGTTTTCTTTGAATCTTCTTTTAATAGTTTTACTAGTTTTGGAGTTGTTTTTAATGGCAAATTGTAGAAATTTTTTATCATATATATGTGTCCACACACACATACACACACACACATATGAATTCAGTAGTGATTGATTTCAGTTTCTTCATCCAAATCTCAGGGCCTGCTGTGTGCTTTTAATATTGTAGATTTTATAACTAAGTCCTGTTTCATTATCCAGATATAGTGAGCATCTTAGTGTGTTTGTTTGAAAATTCATTATGTGTGTAATCATTGGCATTTGCTATAAAATTTTCTTTTGAAATTTTTACATAGACTAATAACTTTAAAAGGTGATGTTCGTTAAGCTAAAGATGAATTTTATATTTTCTGTACTTTTTTTGGTCAAAAATGGTATTCTTTCAGACAAAATCTCTATGTTCTTTACATTCAGTTTTTGATGTTTAGATCCTGGAACATTTAGACCCTTAACATATTAGCATTCATATTTATTTCAATAAATTATAAAAATGTTGCTAAATCAATCATTTTGATTATTGACTTAAATAGCGTTCTGTAATTTTTAGATTCAGAGGAAGAATTTTTTGACGCACTGTGTAGTCCCTTGGAAGAGCCTCCTCAGTCTCCCACTGGAGTTAAAAGTTGTCAACAGAAAAAGTTTCAAAAGCCAGATTATACAAAAAATATGATTCAGTATAAAATAAGATTTGAAGTGCCAGAGGTATGTACATGGTAAAATTAACATGGCTTATTTAAGTTCGTCATTTCTGCTGTTCACATATTACTAATATGCATTCTGTTTTCATCCTACGTAAGCTGAATCCAGATGTTGCTATGTGACTTTCCCTTCACTTTTTTTGAAGATAATTTTCCTAATCAAAAGTTAGGGGTGTAGATTAGATATTATGGTTATCAGTGTACATTTATTAAAGATAATTATTTGTATAGCATAAGTTTGTATATGTGTATGTAAAATCTCCCCTGAAATTTAACTATATATCATGTATATACCTTACATATTCATATATAATCACCATCGACATAAACAGTTTTTTGTTTTAGGTGGTGGTAGTTCCCTTTTTTCTTTCTTCTCCAGGTTTTGATTCAGTTTTATCACCTTGTTGGAGATTGTGAACTACCTGTGGTAGAAATTGATGTTTTAGGACTGGGCACAGATGTTGAGCTTAGAACATTTGATTTGAAAGCAAATGCCTTTTTGAAAGAGTTCTGCTTAAAATGCCCAGAATACTTTGGTAAGTGTCTCATTTTTTTAAAATAAATAAATTAACTTTATTGTTTGACTCCCTACTGGAGAGTTTTAAATTCTCTAGGCTTTAAATCAGTATGTTTGTTAAAATATTCTCCAAGAAATACTATGTTATGAGTTGGTCTTCAGTTTTTATCTTGTACTTGGGAATCTAGAGAGGTCGATCAAAGAGAAAATGAAGATAATTTTTTTTCATTAAGGAAAATAAAATAGTCCTGGTTTAATTTTAAATCTACCTAATCTACCTACTACAATGCTGAATTAATTTCCTGTTGGTAATGTAACAGTTTACCAAAGACTTAGTGTCTTACAACAGAATTTTATTATCTTAAAATTCTATTAATCAGAAGTCTGACATAAGTCTCAACAGGTAAAAATCAGGGTGCCAATAGGAGTTCCTTTTTGGAGGCTCTAGGGGAGGATACATTTCCTTGCTCATTCGGTTGTTGGCAAAATTCGTTTCTATGTGGTTTAAATATGTTTCCTTCTGCCTATTAGGTGAGGGCTAGCCTCAACCTCCTGTGGGCCTCTCTAGTACATGCACATAGTTCCCTATATTTCAGAACCAGAGCAGGGTGGTAGATCGTTCTCATGTTGTCGTGTCTATAGCTTCAGTCCAGGATAATGTTCTCTTTACCTTAATCACCTTTGCAGAGTCTTTATTGCTGTATAAGGTAATGTATTCTCAGGTTTTAGGGAAACATAGCATGGACATCCTTGGGCAGCAGGACATAGCATTATTTTGTGTAAGATAAACATTTTATTTCCAGAATCCTAATGGATAAATTATATAATACATTGGATATTTCCATTTATTGTCTTAGACATTTAAGAGAGGGTGTTATATATATTTCTTCCTTTACATTTTTAGGTTTATTTTTGTAAGATAATTCTCAATGGTTGATGGAATGATTAAGGAAAATGATTTATTTCCATTGTGAGTGCCTTTTATTTATTTTTCTTGTGTAATTGCTCTGGCTAGGACTTCTAGTACTATATTGAATAAAGGTGATTAGAGTGGACATCCTTGTCTTGTTCCTGATTTTAGAGTAAAAGCTTTCAGCTTTCCATCATTAAATATGTTAGCTGTGGGCTTATTATATGTGGTCCTTATTATGTTGAGGTATGTTCTCTCTATACTCACTTTGTTGAAAGTTTTTATATAAATTTTGTCAAATGCTTTTCTTCATTCATTGAGATCATATGATTTTTCTCCTTCATTTTGTTAATGTGGTATATCACATTGACGGATTTCTGGATTTTGAACCATCCTTGGAATAAATCCTACTTGATTATTGTGTAAGATCCTTTTAATGTATTGTTGAATTTGCTTGTACTTTGTTGAGGATCTTTGCATCTATGTTCATCTAAAATATTGGCCTGTAATAATATTTTCTTGTGGTAAATTTGTCTGGATTTGTTGCCAGGGCAATGCTAGACTTGTAAAAGGAGTTTGGAAGTGTTTCCTCCTATTTCTTTTGACGTGTTTCTTCAGAAAGATTAGTATTAATACTTTGTTTAATGTTTGGTAATATTCATCTGTTAAGCTGTCTGGTTTGTTCGGAGGTTTTTTTTGTTTTCTAATGTTTATTTATTTATTTTGAGAGAGAGCATGTGTGCATGTGGGGGGAAGGGCAGAGGGGGGGGAGAGAAAGAATCCCAAGCAGGCTCCACACTGTCAGCACAGAGCCGAATGCAGGGCTTGATCCCATGAACTGTGAGATCATGATCTGAGCTGAAATCAAGAATTGGATGCTTAACTGACAGAGCCACCAGGCAACCCTGTTTAGAGGTTATTGATTAATGATTCCGTTTTTTGTTTTTTTGTGTTTGCAAGTAATTGGTCTTAGTATTTTCTGTTTCTTCATTATTAAGTATAGGAAGTTCTATTAAGTCTCTGAGTTTATTTCTTTTCAGATGTCCAATTGTTAGTGTTAGGGTTTTTCTTAGTAGTCTCTTATGATCCTTTGTATTTCTTTGGTTATCATTTATTTGTCATGTCTCCTTTTTCATCTCTGATTTTATTTGAGCCCTCTCTCTTTTTTTTTTTTTTTAAGAAACCAGCACTTAGTTTTATTGATCCTTTCAGTTGTTTTTTTAAGTCTCTATTTTCTTTATTTCTGCTCTTTTATTTCCTTCTAATTTGGGGTTTCATTTGTTCTTCATCTGGTTCCTTGAGGTGTAAAGTTAGATTGTTTATTTGAATATTTTCTTGTTTCTGAAGGTTTTTGCTGTGCTCTGTATTGCTGTGCTCTGCCCTCTTAGAAACACTTTGGCTGCATTTCATAAACTTTAGTATGTTGTATTTTATGTTCTCATTGGTCTTAAGGTATTTTTTAAAATTTTTCTTTGGATTTATTGACCCAGTAAAAAATGTTAATATCTGCAGTAATTCTTTTTTGACCCAAGTAGTAAAATTGTAACTGTTTGCAGATGACATGGTATCACATCTAGAAAACCTTAAAGGTTCCACCAAAAAAACGGCTACAACTAATCAATATATTCAGTGATGTTGTAGGATAGAAAAACACAAAATTCTGTTGGGTTTCTATATACTATGAGAAAAAGAAGTTAGGAAGACAGTCCCATTTGTTAACAAACTGGAATGAATGATGACTTTCTGAAAAGAAAATTTACTCAAATGAAAAAATAAAACAATCCCATTTGCAATTCCATCAAAAAGAATGAAACACATAAGAATAACTTTAAGAAGGTGACAGATGTGTATACTGAAAACTGTAAGACAGTGATGAAAGAAATTAAAACAAATGAATGGAAAGATAGTCCATCCTTATGGCTTAGAATTATTAATACAATTAAAGTGTTCATACTATTCAAAGCAATCTACAGATTCGACACAATCCCTATCAAAACTCCAGTGTCATTTTCACAGAAATAGAAAAAAGAATTCTAAATTTGTCAGTCACCACAAAACACCCCAAATACCCACAGAAGTCTTGAGAAAGAAGAACAAAACTGGAGGCATGATGTTCCTTGATTTCAAAATATATTACAAAGCTATCTGTGGTACTGACGCAAAACAAAACTTTATGGTACCAACATAAAAGCAGACTCACCAATCAATGGAACCAAAAAGCACCTAGAAACAGACCCATTAACATATGGTCCATTACTTTATGACAGAGGAGTCAAGAGCATAAAATGAAGAAAGGATAGTTTCTTCAATAAATGGTGCTATGAAAACTGGACAGCCACATGCAAAAGAATGAAACTGCTATCTTATACCATTCACAAAAATTAACTGAAGATAGTTGAAGACTTGAATAAAAAACCTGAAACCATAAAACTCCTAGAAGAAAATGTAGGCAGTAAGTGCCTTTACATTAGTCTTGTGTTGATTCTTTTTGATCTGACTCCAAAAGCAAAGGCAACAATAAACAAGTAGGAATACATTAAGCCAAAAAGCTTCTCCACAGCCAAGGAATCCACCAACAAATTGAAAAAGCAGCTGACTGGATGGGAGAAGATACATGCTAATCACATATCTGATCAGTGGTTAATATCCAAAATATATAAAGAATTCTTGCAACTCAATAACCAAAACCCAATTCAGTTTAAAAAATGGACAGAGGATCTAAAAAACATTTTTCTCAAAGAAGACATACAGATGGTTAACAGGTACATGAAAAGATACTGAATATTGCTGATTGTCAGGGAAATGCCACTTAAAACCACAGTGAGATATGACGTCACACCTGTCAGTATGGCTGCTATCAAAAAAACCCCAAGAAATAACAAGTGTTGACAAGGATGTGGAGAAAAGTAAATCCTTGTGCACTACCAAATTAGTGCAGACATTATGGAAGATCACATGTACATTCCTCAAAAAATCTAAAATAGAGTATCATATGATCTCGCAATTCCACTTCTGAGTATTTACCCAAAGAAAATGAAAACACTAACTCAAAAAGAGAAGGGTACCCGATGTTCACTGCAGCCCTATGTACAATAGCCAAGGTATGGAAACAGCCTAAGTTCAATCAATGAATGAGTGCATAAAGAAGATATCCTATTTACATACATACACAGATACACAATGAAATTCTATTCAGCTATAAAAAGGAATGAAATCTTGCCATTTGTGACAACATGGATGGACCTTGAGGGCCTTAGGCTAAGTGAAATAAGTCCGAGAAAGACAAATACCATCTGATCTCACTTATATGTGGAATCTTTACAAACAATCCAAGTTGATAGGTACATAGAACAGATTAGTGGTTGTCAGAGGTGGGGGTGGGGTGGCGTGGTAGTTGGCATGGGTGAAGGGGGTCCAAAAGATGTAAACTTGTAGTTAGAAAATCAGTAGGATGCAAAGTATAGCATAGTGGCTATAGTTAACAATACCTAATTGCCTATTTGAGACCTGCTAAGATAATCTTGAAAGTCCTCATTACAAGAAAAAAATTGTAATTACGTATGAGGACAGATGTTAACTAGACTTACAGATATTGAATCATTATATTTTATACCTGAGACTAATGCATTGTTCTATGTGAATTATACCCCGTTTATGAAAGAGAAATGATTGGGGTGCCGGGGTGGCTCAGTCAGTTGAGTGTCCAACTCTTGATTTTGGCTCAGATCATGATCCCAGGATCGTGGGATTGAGCCCCACATTGGGCTCTATGCCAATCATGGAGCCTGCTTAAGATTCTCTGTCTCCCGCTGCCCCTCTCCCTCGCGCGCGCAAACACACACACTCTCTCTCTCTCTCTCTCTCTCTCTCAAAAAAATTTTTGTTTCAACTAAAAAAAATTTAGTAGGTTAATTTTAATTTTATAAAACTTCTTTGTAGCAGAAGAACATCATATGAGTAGAAATTACAGTAAATTTTAATAGACTATTTTTAGAGCAGTTTTTGAATCACAGTACAGTCAGCAGATAGTATATGGATTTCCTCAGGTACTTTTCACATGCTATACCTCTCCCATTATAAACATCCCCCACCAGAGGAATTTGTTGCAG